CATATAGGTGCCTGCTTCAGAAAACAATTCAGTCCATAATCTCATAATGTTGAATTCCACCTGGCAGCTTTATTTGAACTTAGTTTCTTTTTCTTCTAATACTGTTACCCCAAGAGTTATGAGACAGGCATCAGCTGACAGCACCAGGGAAAGGATAGGTATTGGCAATGGCATAAAAGCAAAAGGGGAGGAAAAAGAATAGCTATTGTAGCATTTATCAGTATTCTATTAATAGTCTACTCAGACACAACTGTGGAATAAAACAGACATTCATACTGCAATTTCTTGCAAAGGTTGAAGCTATTCATCTGCATGGTTACAAGACAGAAGTCTAAAGCTTTCAGATATTATAGCTGTTTCGTTGTCCTGTTGTAATCAGAAGAAACACCTTAAAAAACCCATTGCCTTAGGTGTAAATATTCCACCCCATTCCCATTGGAAGGAACACAGATACGGGCAGCCAACCTTCCTGGAGTGCTTTTAAAAATAGTGTCTTTACATGTTAAAAACCCCCTAAAACTATAGCCAGATATTCCAAGCAGGTAACAGGGGCAAGAGGCTTTTGGTTTAGGGCTGGATTGACCACCCGTTGAAGTGTACAGAGACCCTCTAGTTGTTTTCCATGGGGTTTTTTTTTTTTATTTTTCAGTGAAGGAGAATGTTTTCACTGTGTGTAACCATATGCTCCACGAGAGCTTATGTTCTTTTTACTGTAGATGAGACTTGAGCAACAGGGTGGGAAAGGTGCCCAGAGACAGCTGTCAAGTGTTTGAGTTTGGAAACCCACCGGACATACTCTGGGAATGTACAGAATAGCCAGAGAGACCTTTGTAACTCTGATTCCAGGCAGCAGCTGTGCTCCTACCTGTGTTCTATTTCAGTGCCCTCACTGAACATACACTTTTTAGGCTGAAATAGAAACAGACTTTTAGGGGAGGACAGTTTAGATCCTGAACTGGTTTCAGACCATGAAACTGTGCTATCTTAAGGCATCTGCATTAGGAGCTTGGGAGCACTCTCGTGTAGGGACCATCTGACTTGGCATCTGCAGGTGTCTCCTTCTTTCTCCTTGATACTACAGGGTTTCTAGGGCAGCTGCTTTCTTAATTAGGGACCTAACTTAAGTGTGGTCTTTTAGGGGAATGACATTGGGCTTTGTTACAGAGAGAGTTATACAGGCAAACTTGTAAACCTCCAGTCAGGGAGAATAAAACAAACAAAAAAGGTATCTCCCAAGCAAGCAAAGAAACCACAGTAAAAAAACCAAAACGACAAAAAATGGGTTGGGCACTTGTTGGCTTGGCATTAGCAGACCTGTGACCTATTACTACTTTTGTGTTGGAGGCATTACTCTCACAAACTGAAACAAAGTCAACATTTTCTTTCAAGTTGATAGGCCTCAAATTTTGTCCAAGGTCTTATTAAAAAGAGCTGAGGGCCTCCTTTGTTACAATGTGATTGTTAAGCAAGGAGAAAGAATTATAGTGAACGATACAGGTTGTCAAAGATGGTATCTCAAAAGGTCCAAAATACTCCTCAGAATGGGTTGTGGTTACCCAACAGTTTCCTCAAGAAAAGCAGGGAATTAATTAGAAAAAAAATGCTTTTCATATACTCAAATATTTAATTTTTGCATTGGTGAAGTCAGTCAGTCTGGTTTGTTTCCAGTTTTAAGATGTGTCAAGAGGATTAAAAATTAACCCCCCACCCACCATTTTGAATTGCAAAAAGGAACTATTATTTTAAATCCCAGTTGAGAAAATAGCTAACATATTTTACTTATTTAGAAAAGCTGTGTTTTACTACAAATGTTTAAAGTAATGAATTTGTTCTTTTGAGAAACCCTGTATTCTGAAATTAAAACTGCCATTTAATTTTCAGTTGGAATATTTTATTGCTGCAGTTGTAGAACAGAGGTAGTTAACTGCAATCCATGTTAAAACCTATTTAGTCAAAATATTAGAAGACTGAAGTGGGTTCAGATTGCATTAGAGAGCACTTGCGTTGTTCAAGATTATTGGCAGAGAAAAGAAGAATCAAAAATAAGTAATATTCTGTCAGTATTCTCAGTTGTAAGATTTAGGTATTATTAGTCTATGTACTTCAAATCATTTGTTCTTCTATAGACAGTCATGTGTGTTTAGCTTTATGCAAACTGAGTAAGAACATTTAAAGAAAGTACTGCTTTCAGGTGGAATGGTTTTCTGTGCTTTAAAGTTATGGGGGATAATTGGAGTGTATTTTTAAGAACCAGCAGTATTTGGTAACTCTGTAATAATTACATTAATGTCTCCTAATTTTTGCTCTTCTCACTAGCCAGCCCTTGATAAGAAATATTTTGTGTGCACGTTTCTGTTGTCTGCCTTGTGTCACAAAATGCATGTAAAAAGCTACCAAGTCTGACACCTACTTTGTCTCCAGTGTTTTCCTTGTGTAAATGACTTCCCAGCTGCATGGAAATAGAAAAAATATCTCTTGTTTCCAACAAAAGTTTCGGCTTTCTGGAGGTTATTCTTGATGTCAGTGGAAGGGAACCCAACTGGACTTGTTTTATGTGAGATGAACTGGCGTGAGAAAGTCTCAGAGATGAACTTAGCTCTCCTTTTTTTGGTGAAAGTTTCTGGCAAGCAAAATGCATAGATGAAGTTAAATTACCTCTCCACTCCCTGATTCATGTATCAGAGATTTTGCCATGCGCTTGTTTTCATCCAGTTTTATGAACAACATTGAGGTTTCCACTGTCTCAAAGTTCTAAGAGCAAGCTTTTGTCTCTTTGATAGCTGAAGTAAAAGGAGGCACTGTTCTAATTAAGAATGAAGAATTTAAAATTTAACATTAAAAAGGCAAAATAGAAACCCAGTTACAAGACAGTAAGCTTTGTTGAATACACTTTTGTATTGCAATATTTTAGAAAAATCACTCACTAAAGATTTTTTTAACAGAAGCATAAGAAGATAATTCCCTTTTTTGACACACTTTACCTTTGCAAAGTTACTGGGCTGTTGACAGGTACAATAAGACATGTGCTATGCTTACATGCTATTAGTGCAGCAGGCTTTGAAAAATGTCTAATACATTGGCATATCTGACAATTTAGGGTATTAGTTAACAGTGAGACTCTGTAAATAGAGTGAATTTTAGCTACAACTGCTGACTTGGGCATTCAGTCAACATTTGCAGTACAGGGCTGAACAACAAATAATGTCATTTTATACTATGGAGATGGAAGTTGGCGTTATACAGTGTGTATGGTTCAGCCTTAGAGCAATGGTAATTGCAATGTATTGAAGTTTTGCATTGTAATAAAAATAGAGACCATTAGTGGATACCATTTATGTCATTAGTATTTAGTGGCTGTGTGTTGCAGCTTTTTTAGTGCTCATAAAACTGTCTCTGCTTGCAGATATGTGACAGCACTGATACAAATTTAAATGTTTAGAAATCCATAAGACATAAAATATAGATAGTAAATAGGGGCATAACATTATAGACAGAACCTTAATAATTTGGCACACAAATGTTTATATATTTGCATGTCTAGTGCAGAAATTAGCATAATGATGTTCATGTTTATACTACAGAAGAATTTGATTAAACAAAGAATAAAAAATGAGTTAAAACTGAGGCAAATCATGCAAAAACAGCAAAGAATATTTTCAGGTCCCCAAAAGGGAATTTGTGATGTTGGAAGGTACATCCTTTACATACATCTGGTGGGATATTGATTTTTCTCTTTATAGACTTTTTACTAGTTACAGCACCTGTTCCAGTAACTAGCATTACAGTTGTTCTTAGGAAGTGATTATGTTAATTAACTAATAAAAAGGAAAATAAGGTTGTTAGGTAACTCTAAGATAGAGATTGGCTGGCACTAATTTAACAGTAATAGAGCCAGCATACAGAAGGTCATATGATATCTAGCCCAAAACAGCAATATCTTGTCAGAAATTGGAGGCTGCTGTGAGGGCAGTGAAGGAGCTGACTGGGAAAAGACTTCTTTGGAGCATAGGGTGGGAAGAAGTCCAGGAATATAGCACAGGAGGATTTCCTGAAATTCCAAGCATTATACATGAGACAAGTGTGCAAGCCACAGTTTGGGCTTCCAAGTGATTTTTATTCAAGAAATTTGGAAGCCTGTTTGATTTCCATGCAGAAGATCTCTGGGAAAGCTGTCTTCTTCCCTTGATTTAAGGAATGTCACTTGGATTCTGCTGGCAGCTACTCTTTACTTCTTTAAGAGGTTCCTTTAAGATTTTCCTGTAAGAGACTCCCCTTTGTGCTTTACTGACTCTGGTTTCTGTGTCAGTGACGGATTTGAAGCAAGAGATTCTGAGACTTGTCCTCTGCACACCCCATCCCCATTGTCTTCAGCTCTGACCTTTACATCCTGGAAACACCCTGGAGGTTTGTCACAGAGCTCTCAGGGGATTTGGAAATCAAATTATACAGCACTAAGGGAGAACACAGAAAACTATAAAAACACTTCAGTCATTAGGAGTGAAGTGACAGGAAGCAGTGTTAGGGAATGAATCTTTCCAATTAATTTTCCTTTCAGGGCCCTTTTCCCAACATTTTTAATTCTAAGTGTGTGTGAAATCTTTGGCAACATTACTTCTGTGTTTCAGAAGAGGAGGAAACCTCTGATAAACCTTCTGAATCTCTTGACTTAACAATGATAGCACCGTGATTATTTTGGATCCTTTTATTTGGAAAAGGTGAAAGTGGGAATGTACATTTGCAGAAAGTTTGTGGCTTACATTAATAGTTGTTAAGGTTATAAAATGAGATGCTTTTCAGAAGCTCAAATAATAAGCAGAAGCAAAACAAGCTTTCTGTACAGTGAATATAAATTATTCTGTCACTCCTAGTATTTCTTACAATCTAATTCTGGAAAGTGTTAAACTGGAAATCATATTGCTCCTTTTAAAAACATATTTTTGTCTGTTTATCCGTTCAAAACAGACCGAAATGTAAATCTGTAAAATGCTTTCCATCTTCAAAGCAGCTATTTATATGCATCTAAATTCTGAAATCTTTTTGAAACTTTCGGTTTTATTTCTGATTGTGGGATTCAGTGTCACTTCTTAGCACATTGAGTACTGATGGCTTTGAACATACAGTATGGCACAAAGCGATAACTTGTGCACACTACCCTGCTGAGAGACAATTCTAAAGGAAAAGTGATTTTTATGCTGGGGTTTTGTCTGATTTTAGAATTAGGGGAAATATTAAAGAGCATAACAAAATATTTTAATTCCTCTATACACCACTAAATTAGTTGTTACCTTTTTTATCCAAGTAACAGCTACCTGAGAGCAGAGGCTGCTTTCTGAAGGCATTCTCTACATAGAATTGTACTAAAACCACTAAATCATGAAATGAACAGACAAGTTTTGCAGTAAAGAGCATTATTGCCTGGGTCTGTGGACACTTACCAAAAGCATATGTAAAGGGAGAAGAATATTAGAGTGATATAAGAGAAATGGGCTCCCTAAAATCTATTTTGTCATAAGGTAGAAGGAAGAAGACTTTGGGTTTCTGGTAAAACCTGGGTGAACCTGAAATCATGCTTCAAGGTATTTCTACTGGAATAATTGTAGTAACTGTAGTTACCGTAAAACCTGATACTAAATCTGAGTGTAGCGTATTTCCTTAAGCAGGACAAGCAGATGTAATGTTTTGAATTGAACATGAATGTTGAATTGGTGGTACTTGAAAGTACCTATAGGACTATCTAAAACATATTTTCTTGATAATGTGTTTTCCTGTATTTTCTAAGCTCTATTTTTTAAGTTCATTTTTTTTCCGACTTCTGGATGATTCTTGGTATTCAGCTGCTCTCTTGTACTTCCTTGTATCTTGCTTGTAGACAGTGTATCATCCCGAATTCTTATGGGGCATTCAGCTGTACTAGATTGCCCAAGTTACTACAGGTCACAGCAGAAATGCATTAGTGGAATTAAATAGGAAAGCTTGCCCAGTATAGGCTCTGCTGTTCTTACTGCTTCTTATTGCTTTCATGAGAAGAGTGGGAGGTTATTGAAAGACAGTGCAGCTACACTGCAGGTTTATGCCAAATTAGGTCTTGAACCTGAATGAATTCAGGCATCTGCTGCAGTTCAGATTACAGTTCTCTGTGTGACCTCACACATGTAAGTTGACCTCCTCCTGGTTTGTTTAACCCATCCACAAAATTGAGAAAAACAGGTACCTCCATGAAAAAACAGCTGTACATCTGGGCACAACTGTCCTGAGTAAACAGATTACAAAGAAGGTAGAGGCTCAAATGAAGGGATAATAAAAAGGAAATATAAGTCTCTTTGTCTCCTACATACCTTTATCATTAACTTAGTGGTGCACTGTGTTTACATTTATTGGGCGTGTTTAGTCTCACTGGACTTCCAGCAGAACAGATCTGAGGTCATCGTCTTTTCCTGCAATTCAGTGCATGAGAAGCACTATGTGGTTAGTCTTATTGGAGGGAACACAGGCACAGGCTTTAGTGACTTGTGAATGAATCAATAAAGCATGTTCCTGTAGGTTTCTAAATTGTCTCTTTCATTAAGAATGGAATTGGGCAGTAGAAGATTGATTTTTCGTGGCAAATCAGAGGGGTTTTATCAGACCTTCATTTAGGTTGTGGATTTCTGGAGTAAAAAAGCTTCATCAAAAATACTATGCAGGATTTAAACTGCTACAAGGATCATAAATAGTTTAAATGTCCTTTTTCAGAACACTTTCTTGCACTCAGAATTACATGAGACCTGGTCTTTAGCAGTCCCCACAGATAACTAAATGAGTGGAAAGCTTCTAAGCTCCCACAGCTGAGGATCGTGGCTTATGGAGCAGCAGATGTGGTATTGGTTAAAAGATATTTGGAAAGGGAAGCATTCACAGAGAAATGTTACTGCTGCTAAGGTTATACATGTCTTTGTATATCACAATTGCTTACAGCAGCTCTTGATGAGTGAGTGTGACATGAACTCTGCAGGAAATGCAGTCATCCTTTAGAATCATCTAAAATAATTATTATTGTACAGGTATGGAACAAGAAGAGAGATGTTTCAAATCTACTGAGTTTTGTATCATCACCATATGGCTGTGAAGATCAGAAGAAACTTACCTTTACAGGTGTGGTTCATCTGAATATTCTTTTCCTGCATGGCACACACAGGCTTATTTGGATGTGGTAGTACACCTTGACAGTGTTCTTTTAGGACAGTATAACTTGCTTGTAGATAATACAGTGTTCATCTTGGAATCTACGCTTTTAGTACACACATATGCCTTTCTAGCATCCTGAACCAGTGTTATTTTCATGGATAGACAAGGGCAGTGCTGCATATGCATTTCTTAATTTTTTAATAGGCTCATTAAGTAGAAATTTGTATTTCCAAATCCTAAGGGAGCTGGAGAAACATGGATGAGGCACAGTGCTGAGCCTAGACAAAAATTAGCTGAATCTAAGTCAAGAGCAGCATCAACAGTAATACTTAGAAGCACAGAGCTTTATTAAGAATGGATAATTTGCCAGGCATTACTTTCCACATAGACAGTGTTGTAAGACGTTGTCTATCAATAGATTGCTACATATTCCAAAACGAGTTGAAGCCAAATAAGTCATCATAAGATGTGTCATCATCTCTTATATAGATTTAGCTTTAGCTTGCATGTACATACCTGCAGAAGATAACAGTGTTTTCTAGCAATTCTCTTGAGAGGCAGTTACATTAATTTTCTAGTAACTGCTATGTAAGAATTACGTGTAAAGGGTTTATGAATTATTTATTGTTTGGTGCGAACCTGAATCTTGATTCTGCCCTGTTGTTGCCTCTCTGGGGTACTTGCATTGAGATCCTTCTACAGTTTACTGTAGAAGCATGTTTATATCTGAAGGGTGCTTGTAAGTGCTACACATAAAGAATTAAAATGTTACAGCTCTGCTTATGGTGCAGTGACAGATGCTGGTGTTACAGTGCCTTAGTGGGTGGTTTCTAGTTCAATTTTCTGTTACACAGCCATAATTTGTAATACTGCTTTTGCATTGTTGTGTTGCAGATATGTCAGGGACTTATTAAAGATGGGTGAACTCTGCAGGATCTAGAGGTCTGGGTGAGATAACCAAAATCTCTAGTAGTTTTTCAGAGCTTAATGAGAGGTGGAGTTTTCCATCAGTGCTTTCATGTGTAAATCTTTCCCTTTACAATGAGGTATCAATTTTTGCAGGCTGCTTATCATCCAGGAGTAGGAGACAGTGAGAAGGTATGTGCTTTCTGTACAGAGCAGAGCATTCCTTAGTTGGGCTGAACATCAGCAAATGTTTCTGAGAAGTTTCCTAAACTGGGTTTTAATACTGTCTTTGATGTCCAGAGGAGAACACAGCTTTAGCCATGTAGATTTCTCTGAAGCAATTACTAACCTAATAGCCATAATTAAGGGTCTGTCACACTAAAGAGACACAAGGAATAAGAGACTGATCGTTATTCAGCATCATGTTTACAGAAGAGGTTATACAGCTCTCACTGGAGACAAACTGATAGCTGTCACTCTGGGTGGCTCTGTGTTCACTAAAGGTGAGTTGGTGTACATTATTTATCTTGATTTTCACAGGATCCATTGCAAAGAACACCCAGAAACAGAAGACTTTATTGTTTTTTACTCATGAAAAGAATCTCTTCAACTTGATCTCTTCAAGTCAGTGAGTAGTTCAAACGAGAACAATGAAACTGGTCCATAGTGGAAGTTTTTAAAAAGAGAGGTGAGTGGCATTTTTCTTTCAAAATTTGACTGTGGTTGCATGGCAGGAAATGGAAACTCTGGTAAGCGAGTTGACCAAAAATTAGAACTGCCCCTCAGAGGTATAGGAAGGTGCTCTCTGTGTTAAACTAGTCATCATTTCCCTATGAGAGTGTCCCAAAATGGAATGTATTTGGGTCTGCTCAGGAAGAACATAGCACATATCCTCCATTCTGAACTTTGATGAATCCTTCATGGTAAAAAGACTTGCCAAGGATGTGACCGTAAGCATGCAATTGCTTGTGTCTTTCTGAGTGGTAGAATTGCTCGTGCCTTTGATGAGTCCAGCACATGGAGGTTGTGGTGTACCAGCACCCTCATGGGACCAAAATATGGGCTGCCAAAGCACTGTGTAGAGGGAACTACAAGTCAGTGGGTGGGAGTGACAGCCTGACAAGTTCAGTTGAGAAGTCATGCTTTTAAGTGTGGGGTAATAAATGCTCATGTAAAGCGCTGAGACGATGGATTTTCCATTTACAGAATAAATTTGGAAGTATTTCAGGAAGATGTGTTTTAATCAAATAGGTGTTGTGGGAATTGGTGTAGAAGTAACAGAGTAAAAATCTCTTGTAGGAGATCAGACCACAGTGTCTGATGGCCCTTTTAGAGCTTAACAAATTTTAAATGTTAAGCTGGAACTTCTCTGTGTTTGAATAGCACTTCTCAGTGGACTGGTAAACATCCCAAGTGGCATTGAGGTTTCAAATAGGATTGTAATTTTGAACATATGTTGCGTGCCCGAGCACAGTTGGCCTTAAAATCCTCTTTTGTGTAATGCAGATAGCCAAAGAGTGGACCTGAGCAGTTAAAAAAAAGACAAATGTGTTATGGATGAAAAGGAAAAGAGAGTCAGTGAATATTCACAGAATCACAGAATATGCTGAGTTGGAAGGGACCCACAAGGATCACTGACTCCAACTCCTGGCCCTGCACAGCACCATCTCAAAGAGTCACAATCTGTGCCTGAGAGTATCATCCAAAGACTCCTTGAGCTCTGTCAACCTTGGTGCTGTGACTACTTCCCTGGGGAGCCTGTTCCAGTGCCCAGCCACCCTGAGGGTGAAAAACCTTTTTCTAACATCCAACCTAAACCTCCCCTGACACAACTTCAGGCCATTCCCTTGGGTCCTGTCACTGGTCCCCACAGAGAAGAGATCAGTGCCTGCCCCTCTTCTTCCCCTCATGAGGAATTTATCACTAATTAGTGATAATCATTGCTGTGGAGCGATAGGGTGGGATAGGAGCACAGCCTTTACTGAAATTCCTCAGGGTGAAATAATGCCATTTCTGTCTGCATAGAAGTATTTGCCAAAGCTTGTCCTTTGGGTTGGTATTTTGTTAAAACAGAAATCCAGAGCAGTAATGTCGAATTATGCTGTTAGTGTCCATAGGCAGACATTTAAGTCAGTTTGAAAAGAAAAAAAAGACTTATTTTGATTTTCTGTGTAGAAAAATCCATCATTTCAGTTTAAGAGGTCATGTTAAAGTAAAATATTTACCCAAACTAAAATTCTGTTGCCATTTCAGTTTGTGGAAACACGGAGCCCCTTAGGCAATACAATGTTTCAAGATGGCTTTCATATGTGGAACTCTTGGTTACTTCCCAGCTCAGGTTCACAGGTTGGTATGGGTTACAATTATCACAAGAACTATTTTAAGACCATAGCAATTAAATATTTTTATGGCTTATTATCATATTCTAAGTACTAAATGGTTCTGAGAAATAGTCTCAGAGAGATTTGATAGCTGACCCACAGACTGTGCACTGCCTTTTGCATACATACTTAAGCTAGTAGTATTTCTAGGAAGCTATATTTTATTAATTCATTATTATTTTATTGATGTTCAATTGATGTCTTATTAAATATAAATTAGATATTTGGGATTAATAATGTAATGGGATGAGGCAGGTGAGATTCCCTCAGGATGGTTTATAACGAAGCCTCAAATTGTTAATAATCCTAAACTCATAAATAAATTATTATGGGTGAAACAAAGGCAAAAATACTGAAATAAGCTATGAAAATGTTAAGTGGAGGTGAAGAGACACATAATCTGCTGGGAGATCTGTGTGATAACATACATTTGGCACTAAGTCACAGAAGTCAGATTCACATCAATGTCCCCTGCTCCTTCCGATCCTTTAGCATGTAGGTGTGGATCAACCCCTCGTTTCCCATTATTATGCTGCACCATCCTGTTCCCAGACATTTTGCTTTGCCTGGGAACAGTGTTAATTTAACGCTCTCAGCTGACCTCGGAGGCACTGAAATGACACGGCAGCAGCAGCCCAGAGTGCTGCAGTATATCCTGCTGTTCACAGAGCTGCTGGGGAGAACAGGGACTTTTCTGGACACTTTTCTGTGAACTCTTCTGGGAAAAGTCAGGGGGAGCTGTCTCTTTGACTACACTGTGTGAGGAAGGACACATCCTCTCACTTAGCTGTATCTTTCATCTTTTCCATGGAAGACAGATTTCCCTGTTGCTCCTCTGTTTTTCTTGAAGAGTTAGCAAGGAGACCATAGATCTCCCTTAGATAAGAAAAGAAAGAAAGGAGGACCTACCTTTATGTAAGGAAAGAAGGATGGAAAGAATGAGAGGATTCTGATAGTGTATTTTCTGGTTTGTTTGGGGTTTTTTGGATCCCAGATTCCACAAACACGTTAAGAGATCTGAAACCTTAATTTCTTCGGCAAAACCAGCACCGTTATCACAGCCTTGAAAGACAGAGCTAAATCCCAGGGGAGTACTCAGTATCTGTGTTTTATACTCACTGTAGTGGGAATTGCAGAAACTCAGTACTTTTTGAAATGCTGCTGTAATTTGAAGAGTTAAGTCACGCAGCAGGTTAGTAAACGTAAAGAAGTTTAGTGCCAAAAATTAATTTTGTGATATTTCTGCTGGTGGACATGCAAAAGTCTGAAAATCTGGCCGTGTTACATGCAAGTAGTGCTGATGGAGGCATTCACATAGGGATTTGGATGTATCCAATGTGGAATTTTGTTCCAAAGTAATTTTGGGTAGTTTGGTAGATGGTTTTCCTGTAATGTTAAAGCTGAGCGCACTCTTGTTACTTGTGTGGTGTTTTTGAAAAAAAAAATTAAATTGTTTTAGAAAATGAACAAAGAGATGATTTAGTCACTGTTTTAGGCTTTTGCCTAAAATTATATTCCAAGAACTTGATGATATTGAATGGCCAAAGGGTCATAAACTAAAAATTTGGCTTAATATAAGGTACAGAAAAAAACCAAATATGCTGCTTTTCTGATGTGAGAGACCTTGGTTGCTAGGAGGAAAGTATTCAAGTGTTTGCCTACATTTTGCTGGGGTTTTAACAGTGTGGAATAAATAGATAACACCATGTCTTTTAAATAATGTTTTTTTAAATAGTGGAACTATTACCTAATGAAGAAATTGCAATAATCACATTTCCATAAAAGTGGGGAGTTATGGTATCTATGTAATTAAAATGCTGTTCTTTTCCAAATATAAATCTGCTGATGAATACATTTTTCTGTATTTTTGTAATTGGAGATGTTGAAATCAACTTGTTGTTAAAGCACAGAAAATTCTATTGCCTCTCCATAACAGAATAAAGACAGAGAAGTCACATGTGTGATTTACAGCATCTGTACCAAAATTATATTCTTTCTGGTAGTTACAAATGGTTATTCCTGTGCATCTGCCAGGAGGTCAACAGGTATGGAAAACAGATCCAGCTTGAATCATTCTTCACTTTTCCCCTGGTGTGCCAGGCCAGCAGGGTCTATTGGAACTGTTGGCCAGTTCTTGTCCATGCACTTGCTGACACTTCTCTAGGGAACCACATTAAGCAATTCCTTGGGTCACCAGAGATGTCTGTGCCTCCTCCTTCATGTGCCAACACAGGCTGGGCTCGGAAGAAGGTCCTGCCCTGCTCTTGATGTTGTTTGCACTCTCCCCAGATTTCTTATGACTCGTGTCAGCAAGACAAACAGCCATTCCCATTTAGGAATTAGAGAAGTCTCAAGGCTAGTTTCACACTCGGGGCTCCTTTTTTTCTCATCCTGCAAGAAAGCAAGATATTAATTACACAGCACCTTTTTCTGCAACTTTTATGCAAAGGTGCTAAAATTGAGAGAATTTATCTGTCTTTGTAAGAAATGAAAGATTAAAAAGCATTAAGTAGGCATTTAAGCTACACTGGTGTGTGGGGAACATAGAAAACATTCTACAGTCTCCAGAGACACCTACAAATTTTTGGTTCTGTATTTGTCTTATTGTCTCCCTTTAAAAGGCTCCTGTTACTGTTGCTGCACAGCTTTATTCAAAGTTACCTGTGGTGAGGAGGAGTCGAGGATAACATGGATAGTAATTAGGAATCGAAAGAGGAAACAAAAGAAAAGGCCAACAATGCAAGACAATCATTAAGTGCCAAATATAATTTGTCAAAGGTGTTCCTTCTAAATTAGGTGGAGGCAGCATTTTTTCAGATCGATACTGCCTCAGTGACTCCCCTAGAGTTCTGGTAGCTTTTGGCTAGCAAACAGGAAGAGTTGTGGTATGCCCTATGCATAAACAATAAGACCAAAGAACTTAGTGGATTAGTAGACCTCAGCTGTGGTCTGACATCCCTGTAAAACTGAGATGGGCAGTGTGCAAGGGCTGAAGCTGGCACAAATCACGTACATGGCCTGATCAGCTGTGAAGCCACCTCGTAGATCAGTCACAGCCAGAAGTGCAAAGCTCCACAGCAAACTGAGCTCAGTAGTAAATATTATCAAGGAGTACATGCCCTGATTCTTGGTGATGTTAGTGGGAAAATGTATTGAATTCATTTGGAGTTTGAGCTGCCTGTTAGAGGAAGTGCATTAAGTATTTAACCCAGATGTTGTCCATCTTTAACCACACATTCTACCCAACCTGATGCATTTAATTACCAATATAAGGTGTTATTGCTGTGACTTAATACTATATTATATTCTTACTCAATGCTACTGTGGTGCAGCTGTAACTCAAATACAGTGCTTTGTTTCAAATAAAAAGGTGGGAATAGAGAAGACAGGTGTCATACAACAGAGGGGCAACCTCATGATAGGAAATGGCATTCTGATTAAATTTTCAGAGGGGCATTGATATTCTTGGTATTTCCTGTATCAAAACATCATAGCAGCCAACTGACAGAAGCAGCAGCTCGTTGTTTCTTAAGTGGTGTTTGTTAGACCTCACTGTTCAATAGGAGTCCCTGACAGCATGCTTCATCTCTGGAGATGTAGCCCTTCTAGTCTAAGCAAACTATAAAAACTTGTCCTTAGTCCAAAGAAACAGTCTTTGCACTGGAACCCAGGTGTCCTGATTCACAGCCAGCACAACTTAAACTCAAGGGCAGACCCAACATGCACCTCTGGTCTCTCCTAGAAGGAAAGAGTCGTACATAGGCATGCACGTCTACAAACCTCTACATCTGGCAGCCTCACACCTTCCTGAACACAGCTCTGCAATAGGAAGGTGCAACACAGCTGCATTTTTCATCAGGAGAATATGCTAATTTTTGCTGTTACAACTCTATATAACCTGACAATTGTTCTCTCCAGTCTCTTGGGTTAACTTTATCTGTGGTTGTGTTTAGAAGTCCCAGATGATTATGTAATAGGTGGAAGATACCTAATAATATAACAGGCCTTTTCTGGTTTTTTCTATGGCTGTATTAATGTCATTTCTTAGCTATCATTGTGTCTTTTTCCACGTCAATCCATTGTGAATCATGCAGACACAGCAGTGAAAGAACAGAACCTGCTGCAGCCTGTGAGCAGCAAGAAATTTCAGCTGGATGACTGCATAAGGGGTTTGCAAGACCGCCAGTAATTTTTTATATTCAGAGTTAAATAGAGCAATAAGATGGAATTTAAGCTTTAGTGCAATAGATTGCAGCTCTTCAGTCAATCAAATTATAGTTCAATCAGTTCATTTTAATCACTTCTCTGGAGAGAAGTAAACCCCTATGTTGAAGAATATGCAGCAATTTTATTGATGGAAAGTTTAATTGTTTCATTTTTCCTTACCGTCTGTAACACACTAGACTTTTAATCAGTGGGAACTGAAGTTATAATGAAGTAAAGTCCACTTTCCACAGTTCACAACTAGCTGAAAATAATTGGGTTGAGACTCCCATCCAGACAGTGTAATGCCTCTGGCATTTTCCTGAAAACTACACTTAATTGCTTTGCTGATGTTGTTAAGTGGTCCTGAGGGGGATGAAGTAGTAAAGCTGCCCACATATGCAGGGAAACAATACACAAAAAATGTCTTACAAGGTCCTTAAAGGAGGACCAACTAGTGACTAGAAGACAATATATGGCTATTTTCCCCCCCTTTTCTATACCAGAGAGAACACATGGGAGAGGCTGACAGAATAAACTGGAAATTCTATAAAGACTAACAGTATTTTTATTTAAGGGCAGTAAGCTTGGGATCAGAAGTACAGAAAACATCAGGGCAGAGCTCTTGCAATCAAACCTGCAACTTGAGGCTAGCCCGAGTTGCTTGGCAGTTTTATGCTGAACGCTGGTTAGCTGCTGCCTGTCTTCAGCACCTTGGCCTGAGGAACAGATGTACTCTTGTCCCTAGGGAGGGAGGACAGCTTGCTCTCTGTGCTCTGAAGTGACAGGACGTGAGCCAGCTATGAGCTGAAAGCCTTGCCCAGGCATCAGTGGGCCCAGCATGTGCACCCCGTTAGGCTCTAAATGTAGCCAGAGATGGAATAACACTTTGGCGTTTCTCCTGATTTAGTGCATTCATGGGAGACTCTCCCTGGTTGAATTGTGATTGTTTAAAATGATGAATCAACTGCTAGGCTCAAGGATATTCTGATGTAGAAATATATTAGTTATTTAATAGAGAAAGATATGTATTTAGGCCCCACGAATCAGGTAGTGTCCCTGAACTCAAAATCAGGGTTGGAGCTGGACCTGTTTTGGGGGAGCGAGGACTATAGTGTTAGCTTAGCTTTTTTAAGTAAGTGGGCTTTTGAGGGTTTTTTCCTTGTTTATTTACATATACGAGCACAGTAAAGTCTCTCTCTCAACAGCTTGACCTTCCTCAGCTGCTATTTGTGTAAACTTCAGTATGACCTTTGCTTATTTTATTCTCGCTTTCACAGGCTCTGAGCTGAAAAATTACGTCCTCACAACTTTCTAGAAAGGAACGCAGGCAAAACTGAGGTATTGTGCTCTAAAGCTGGAATCTTAAAAGTTCCCTTAACCCTATATCTGATCCTGGAGGCCCTCCAGAATCTGTGAGTTGGTACCTCAAATCTTGGCCAGCACAGCTCTATAAGCACCTGAAATTATGCTTTTTCCCCTGAAACATGCTGAAGTCTAGACAATACCTTGACATGTAACCTCATATTAGCCTGACTATTCCCCATAATATTAATAAGCCTTAACACTTATTTCTCCTATGGTGAAATGATCACCTCCCATGTGCTGGAACTGTCAACCATATACCAAGGAGATCAAGCTGTCAGATTTGAGAAGAGCACTGGGAGTAGTGCACTGTGTCCAATTCACTGTGTTTGCCTGCCTCTGGGAGAGCAGCTCAGCAGCAGCAGTGGTTGTGCTCTGCTGTTCCTGGTATGGTGAGTAATCTGGTTTTAGCAAATGCTCCAAATGAGGACTGTGTTGTGACAACTGATGGGAGACTCTGCTTGGGTTTTGTACTCTCAGTGGTGCTGAGGGACTGAAGGAGCCAGGGCAAATCTACAGTGCAAAAAACCAACCTGATGTGGCTGGCTGAAACTTGCCACTGTGTTGTCTGGCTGTTTTAGAGGGTTCTCTGCCCTGGCCCTTCTTTTGGAGACAAGGTCACTGTCCTAGAAGGAGGAGTGTTTCCTGGAGCTGTAGTGCAGTCCTGTGCAGCACAGCTGCCAGATGGCCCTTATTGCCAAGCAGACCTGCTTGCTGAGTCTCACATGCTTTAAAGTCTTACCCTGGGTCTCAAAGGAAACAGGAGGGAGGATGATTTGACACACATTCTCCTGATTTGACATACTGTATGGTTACAACATGGTGTGTCATCCAGAAGAAATCCAAAATACATGTTCATGTACAGGCACAAATCTGACTGTTCCCTGATAAACTGTTCATGTGGAAAGATACAATTTGCATGGTTGTCATCAAAACCAGTGTATGTATTCATTTGGAGAAGCATGTCAGACACCATATGCCAGTAATATGCCTTTGATATGTTGGTGTCTGAATCATTTTTTTAACTGCTGAATGGCATATGTTTAAATGTAAACAAACATCTGTTCTCTGTTTGTACTGTTGGTTTTTTTTATTTCTATATTTTCTTTTGACTAAGAGTTGGATTCAAACCCAGAAAAAATGTGGGATTCATCGTGTTTTTTAAAGAAAGATAGTTTTTTTAGTATTTCAGCGTGTGGCCAATGTGTATGTTCTCATAGGTGAGAAGAGTATTTAAAAGAGAATTTTTTCCCTTTCAGTAACCAAAACAAACTCAATTTCCAGGCAAAATAAAAATTTTGACTAGAAGTTTCTTGAATAAAAAAATTATTGTTTTAGTGTTGGGCGGGTTCTGCAATGTATGGGTTTACTGAAAAGCAGCCTAATGTTACACCATAACATTAAATTATTTTTATCCAGAAACTTTTCTGATGAAGTTAAAGAACTTGCAGCGTAATAAATGACTTAATAAAGGAATGAAATAATACATTATGTTTGTTAGGCTATTCATTATACATGGGCGAAACTCAGAACCAGTGTCACAACAAAGAGACTCAAAAACAGTTCTTGCTACTTATCAGTCAGATGAGCCACTGCAGCAGCATTCAGGATGCTACAGCCAGCCTGAAAGGCACGGTTTGGGCAAAGGTAGTGAATGATACCTTCCTATTATAGCAACGCAGCAAGGGACTTCATGAACCAGCCGGGGATAGCTGACAAGTCTAGAGATGAGTGTCGAATGCTAAAGTACGGGAGGGGCTTAAGAAACATTGCAAAATGAGCAGCTGTGTTGAACTCATCAGCGTGATGGCAAGAAGAGACTCCAGAAAGGAGCAACCACAGCAGGACATCACAAAGTTGCAGAGCTACGAGTACTGCTTCAGTAAATGCTTGAGCTGAGGAGAGGAACTTACTATTGTTAGTGTCCCATGACTGCTGGTTTCTACCTTTTGGTAAGAACTCACTCAACTTAGCAAAAATTAGAAATGTCAGCTCTTGGTGGACTTGTGCAGCCTGGGCTTCATATTCTGTTTGTATGGTTTGGCTCAGGCCTTTAACAAACAAACAACCTTTGCATATAACATAGGAAAATCAAATCTGTCTAAATCCTAAAGCTCCATGTCATTGTCACAGAATCATAGCATTTCATAGCCACATCTTTAAACAAACCAGATCAAAACAAACCATGAAAAGCTGAGTGCTGTTGGCCACGAGCTAGTTCGTAAAAAATGCCCTGAGAAGCCCAAAGTGCACCTGTGGCCATGGCAAAGCCACTGCCCGGGCAGCGGGACAGCCGGGCAGAGGGGCCTCGGAATCAGTCAGTGCCATCTTGTGGCATTTCAGGATATTAAAAGGCCCCTGAGCTACAGTAATTGCAAATGTCCTCGGAATCCACCACAATTCCAAAAATTGCAATGGTCCAGGACACAAACCCCGGCACGGCTGCGTGCACTTGGCCATAACTGCTGCGGTTTGCACGGAGCAGCTCAGCACCTGAATGATTAATGAGGCAAACGCCTACCAATTATGGCTCATTGGAGGTGCACAGCGAGCTGCATGTAATTAGAAATCCTGGGAACAGATGGAGAATTTTGCAACATCAAAAGCCTCCTCCTTATTAGCCGTGCCCTGTGCTGGGCAAGAGAAGTGCCGGGTGTGGGCTGCCCTGCTGGGGCAGGGCTGGTCCCCCTGCAGAGAGCAGGGGCAGAGCCATCCCTTGGGGCAGAGCTGGCATCCCTGGCAGGGGCTGGCTGGCTGCTGTCACAGGTCACTCACCTGAGGTTACTGTGCTCCCACCTGCAGCACCAGGGCAAGGCCAAGCTGTGCTTAACCACCCAAACACCCCCAGCATCACCCGCCCACCTGTGAGAGCAGCACGAGCTTGCTGCTCAGAGGTGGCTGCTGCTGCTGCATTGCTTGCACTGTCAAACCTTTTGCTCCAGAACCCTGACAGCCTTAGCCTGGGACACAGCAGCATCAGGTGTTACTGACTCAATTAAAAAAAAAATAAAGAATTCCCATCACCTATCCTCCTCTTCCCGCCCATCCAAATAGGTGGAAAGGGCCTAAGCCTTCATGTCATTTTATATGTACACAAACTGAATAAAAACATAAAAACATAAACACATAACTTGATACATAATATAACTTGATACATATATAATATTTACCTACTATATAAAGCAAGTTATATAATATAAGCATAAGAAAAAAACCATTAGATAAATAATGTAAGTAATGCAGGAATACACATATAAAAGACAAATATATAAAATATGCATATAAATATATAGCTTATAAAAACAAATAATACAATTGTAATAAATGTATAAGCAATAATATATAATGTTATCTATCTATCGAAAAATATGCTCTTTCCTAATAATGACTGCTGCAATACCAGAAGGGGACACATCCAGTTCCTAGCAGTGTAGCATTTATTGCATAAAAAGGAAGGAAATAATAGCAACTTGAACAAGATTTAAAAGAGAGCTTTAAGGCCCATTCGGTCAGCTGGTGGGTCAGTAGGTACGCTGAGGGCACATTACTACTTTACTGCCTCAAAGGATGCTGCCTCAAAGGAAGGTGGGCTGACTCTTGTGAGCTTGTAGGTAACAAAATGGCTCACTAACAAACACCTTTAGTTCTTCCTTGTCTCATCACCTATTTTGGGGTGGTTCAAGCAACCCAGACATTCCCCCAAAAGGGTTTTTGCGAGTGGTTGTGGTCTAGTAACAAAGTTACAGTCATTTCTGATTTCTACATTCTCCAGTTCTTTTTTTTTTCTTTCAGTGACCCATAAATTAGTGTGATTTATAATTCTTGGATTAAAACCAGATTTAATTTTTTTAGGTAAAACACAATGTCATTTTTATCAAATCTTCTGAAAAGAAAAACTCTTTTACACTGTGCACGTTCCATTCAAGGACTTGAGCCCTGATGTTCATCTAGTATAATTTTAGTAACAGTGGGATTTTCTCAGTTTACTGTTTTGCTGGGAAGTAGTTTGGTACAGTTGCCAAGTACAGTTGTGTTGGTTTGGCTTTAGATTTATTGCAGGGCACTGAATCCTGTTATAATCTCTTTTTTGAGGACAGTAGAAATGCTCTGATTTCAGACTGCCAAAAATTTTAGTATTTACAAGGAGTCAATTAATAGTAAATTGAAAATGGATTTGTCCATATCAATTTGATTACAAAGACAAAAAGAAAAGTAGAAGATAATTCCATTGCCCTGAACTATCCCTATGGATTGTTACACATAGGACTACTGGGTTCACTCCAACTTGAATAAGGCAATTCTTAAGTTTTATTTTCCAAAGTAGGCAAATTGAGCTTTTATCTTCTATTAGTGTGAGCTCTGTTATTAAATGCAAAGTAATCTTACAAATAGTTTTAAACCAATATTATAATTACAACATAATTGATTGCAATTGGTTTTTTTCCTAAGAAAGATGAAAGTAAATAATATTTCTTTCAAGCGTCTCTCATTTTCAACACCTTCTGTTGGCTGAACTCTCTCTGTAAATCTATAATTTAGATAACTATTTCCTCTTTGTCATGCTGGAAATGAAATTTGCTTTTTAGACTAAGATTTATTGTTTCTCACTCATTTTCTCCCCCAGTAGCAAGCTTTAAGTTTTTTTTTCTGATGGTCTGGAATTTTTTATATTTTTGCATATAAAAGTTCCTGATAAGCCATCTCAGAGGGGATCATACCAGCCTGAATTCCCTCTGCTTTCCTCTTGCAAGGTAAGTTTAAGCATTATTTTGTTACTCATCAGAGGCCCTGATATAGCTTCAGTTTGACTGGGAAGGGATTTTATTCTGATGTAGCCATAAAATACCCCCAGCCTCTTTCACCATGTAACTGGGAAATTATGTACCCTGCAATAACCTTGGAAGGAACAGAAGTAGAACATGATGCAGCTATGATTGAGAAGTAAAATTTGAGTCAAGTTGAAGATCAGAGATACACCAGTGTTTTCAACACTGCCATTTCATTTTGAAAAGTACAATATAGATGAGAGCTCACATTTCAAGAGTTCAAGGATTTTTCATTTCGCAGTTTAGGCTCTAGCTTTTGGACATCCCAAATTATAAAGTGGTTAAAAAATAACACTTTGGCTTAACTCTCCTAATGTAACATTTCCCCTATTTCTTCTCCTCACAAAAATTCCTAGTTTACATATGGGATTCATTATTGCATTATGGCACCATATATTAGACTGGGTTTCCCAGTTAGCCCTTGGAGAGATTGCATTTCTATTTTGTAATGATTTTACCATTGGAAAAGTTCATCTAGAAAGATGCCTGGAAAACAATGAAGCCACTAGGGGAATTCTTCACTTCTTGAAGTATCCATCACTCCTCAGTAGAAGAATTGGAGGGATATGTTGAGCTTGCTACATCCTCCATCAATCTTTTGTTTGATTATTACATTATCAAGTTGCTTGCACTGTGAGAGATTAAAACAGTTGGGTAAGTGCAAAGCACAGAGTTACTGAGCACTTTGATAATAAGTCAGACATCAAACTAGTATTTGAAGTGCAGAACTACTGAGCTTTCCCTTTGTCACATGAGCAGATGTTGCCGGAGGCAAGGAGGAAAGGAGCTGTGCATTCTTTTTTAACTTGGCTGCTGAACCTTGCACTACCTGAAGAACCAGGCACTGTGTGCAGCTCCTGGTTAGATACTTTTCAAAACTGTCTTCTGCCTAAGGGCTATCAGATGTGCAGCTGAGGCAAACACAGATTTTCCCATTGTGCATCTCCACTGAGGACATGCTGCAGTATGCAGTAAGTAAGTGGTTGGGCTGCTTTACATCAGGTGAGAGCTTTATTAATTTAGGAATCTAACAACAGTATTTTTCCCTTTTACTCTGCTTTAAGGAGAGTTCTTCCCAATATGACAGTGGGTCATTAATGAGCAGAGATGAAATATCTCAACTAGGGAGGAAGACTTCCTCCTGGATAATTATTCAGAACCACAGTGCAGGTTAATTCAGCTTGAAAGATCCAACCAGACCTATTTGCCATACACATTTATTCCCGATAACTGTGGCCTGCCTTATGTACATTCTTGCTACCTTTTCAGACGGATAGGGGATTAGTCCATAAGTCTGGTGATTTTCCTATCCCACTACCTGGATATCCATTTATTCTGAAGAATTCAAGAAACATCCAGTAAGTAACTCTCCAGGCCCAATGAATCAGCTCAGGACCCTGAGTCTCTAGGTAATTACACTCGTGCCTCTCACTGTTCAAGTAAAGTGCTTCACTCTCTTATTTGTAACAAGCATTAAGTAAACCTACAAGGAAATATCAACAGATGTAATACAGGACACCAGGGGTTTCAATGACCATCAGCAGAACTGCATCCATCGCCCTCAAACATAATAAGCTGTACAACATTCCCTACTGATTTTCTTCCCGCACATGCATTGCACATACCTCACTGGTATATTTGTAAATACTTCCACTCCTAC